GCCTCGCGCTGCCGCGCCCGCCTCCCCGCCCTCCGCCCGCGCTGCCTGCCGCTTCCCTCCTGCCTCCGATCCCCGGCCTCCTCTGCCTGCCTCGCCCTGCCTGCCCTCCCCGCTCCCTCCCCTCCCTCGCTCCTTCCCCTCCCTCTCCTTCCTCCCCCTCCCTCCCCTCTTCTCTCCTCCTGCTGCTCCGCTTCCTTCTCCTCGTCCTCCTCCCTTCGTGCCCTTTCTCTGATCCGCGCATCATCCCTGCCTCCTGTGCCTGCCAACCTGGCTTACTTGCCCCTGCTCCGCTCTTGGTACTTCGCCTCTTCCTCCTCCTCTTCCTCCCCCTCCTCCTCCTCCTTCCGCTCTTGCTTCGCCTCCTCCTCCTCCTTCTCCCTGGCTCCTCCTTCTCCTCCTCCTCCTCTCTTCTCCCCCTCCTCCTCCTCCTCCTCCTCCTCCTCCTCCTCCTCCTCCTCCTCCTCCTCCTCCTCCCTCCTCGCCTCGCCATTTCTCTCATCCCTGCATCATCCCTGCCTCCTGTTCCCGCCCACCTCACCTCCTTGCACCTCTCTCCTTCCTCCTGCGTTCTCTCCTTCTTTCCGCTGCTCTTGTGACTTGGCTTTCCATGCTTGTGGCTCAAAGTGGTTCATTTCTGGCACGCACGTGGTTCGAAGTGACCTAAGTTGGGGGGGACGAGTTGCTAATAATGTCGTTTCACACCCCAGTGATGTCACACTATCAGGAACACATGTTGGAGTCAAATGCAAGTCGGTGTCATGATCTTGTTTGGATCGTTGCGCTTGCAGAGATCGGCGGCAAGGCGCCAATTACGGAAGCATGCAAAACAACTTGCGTACCTATCCACGTTGAAACGCGCACCTGATGTGTCACGCGTAAATGATGCACGGCTTCAGGGACAGCGAAACATCTAACCGACCGTGAAGTTGGATCGTCAAGCCGTTGGGAGCACATGTCCGTGTGAGCTTAGCTCCCGTGTCTTGACGGCCGATGGTTTCGCTTGATTTCTACCAGCGTCGACGTCCCAACGGATGTGGTGTGGTGTAGCATAGTCAAGTGGTTTACGCCATTCCGCCGACCCCCAGAAGGAGTGAGAGCCTGCCGCGATGACAATCGGGGGCGTGTCGGAGGGCTCGTGGGGGCATGTGGAGTCGTTCGTTACTGCCTCTTGGGCCTCTTGTGTGCGTGTTCGGGGTTCTCGGAGGCGTGCTCGAGACCGCGAATCATGGCGACGTGGAGATATGAGAGAGCAAGGAGAAGGAGAGGGAAGAGGAGGAGGAGGAGGAGGCGGAGGAGGAGGAAGAGGAGGAGGAGGAGGAGGAGGAGGAGGAGGAGGAGGAGGAGGAGTACCTTATGACCTGATGGCCGATGATGGCCCACAGACGGCGACACATGAGTGCAGAGCAACACATCACGCACGAGCGTGAATTGTGCGGGGCACGGGTGGAGCCACAGCAAGACAGGGCAAGACGAGGGGCCCCCTTTCACCCCCGTCGCGCCCGGGCCGCACGCGGCCGCGCGGCAGACCATCGCATGCATCCGCAGGGCCTGCTCCTCCTCCTCCCCCTCCTCCTCCTCCTCCTCCTCCTCCTCCTCCTCCTCCTCCTCCTCCTCCTCCTCCCCCTCCCCCTCCCGCCTCGAACCCTCTGGGGGAACGGAGGGAGGCAGCAGCAGCAGCAGCAGCAGCAGCAGCAGCAGCAGCAGCAGCAGCAGCAGCAGCAGTCGAGGGGAAGGGGCCTCCTGCAGGGAGGGCGTGGCGTACTGCCCGTCGAGAGCGGGCCTGTTCCCGCCTGGCTTGAAGCTGGCGTCGTAGAGCTTCCGTGAGCTCTACACGGGCGGGGGGGGGGGGAGGAGGAGGGGGAGGAGGAAGAAGAGGAGGAGGAGGAGGAGGAGGAGGGGGAGGACGATTAGGAGGAGGAGGAGGAGAGAAGGAGGCGGTGGAGGAGGAGGGGTGGGAAGCCCAGGGGTCGCCCTCAACATTGCCCTCCTCGGCCCGCGGGTCCTCCTCCTCCGGCCAGGGGTCGGGTGCCTCAGGCCACGGACCGGGACCGTCCGACTGGGGCTCCACATGAGCCGTGGGATGGGGCAGTGGACGGGGCTCGAGGGCGATCAAAACGGGTGTCCTCCTCCTCCTCCTCCTCCTCCTCCTCCTCCTGTCGCTGGCGAAGCCAGTCGCTCGAGTGTGGAGAGGTGTGCTCAGCTGTTGGGCTGAGCGCAGTGGTCGGTCGGACGGACCTCTCCCCTACGCTGCGCTCCTCCTCCTCCTCCTCCTCCTCCTCCTCCTCCTCTTCCTCCTCCTCCAAGGCTATATCAGCCTTCTCCTCCACAGTGCTGTCAGCATAGGGCTGAGGAGCCGGAAAACTGCACTCAGCTCGTCAGGACGATCTCTGGAATCTAGCTCATCCTCATCACATAGCCGGCAAACCTCATCCACACATCGGGCAATTGCACGGGCAATGATTGCACACAGGTCCTGAGGGTACCTTTTTTTGGAAGCCGTTCGCCATGTGTCTGTCTCGGTGTCCATGCTGTGGAGGGTGCAACGTCCTAGCTTCCCCTGGCTCTGGATTTCCTCGACACGGGAGTCCAACCGCATGCACAGAAGCGTAATCGGAGCTTTGCTTCCCTAACCAAACACACACACACACACACACACACACACACTGATCATACGAAACCGTTCTGGAGGGTGGGGCCGCACTCAGAGCACAAGACGTGGCTGACTGCCACGAGCTTGGTGCTCTCTCCTCCCAGTGTGCAACCTCTGGATGTGCCCTCAGAGCGCACGCTCCCACCTCAAGGCAAGTCAGCATCAACTGGTGCTGGCTGAGCAGTAGCTGAGAGCCAATGGATAGCTGCTGATGTTGGCGTGCACTTACATCTGGACGACCCCACCTGTGCTTGAGCGTGCGTAGAGGGGCCAGTGGGCGATACCGATCAGCAACTCTTAGCTCCAGCCACCTTGCAGCAGGCCGCGTCTCACATGGAGGGCTTCCGATGAGGCCAACAGCACGGCCTGTTCTCAGGAGCAGGTCCCATTTGCAAACGCTATCCGCACGAGATGGTCTCCATTCGCGGGGTCACATGCCACATCGCACGATATAACAATACTGGTAACAGGTCCCGACATCAGAACACGTTCAAACTTCTCCTGCACATCACCTTATCGCCATGCTCCTGAGAACAGGTGCAACAAAACAAGCACTGCATACTGGAGAGGCCGCGGACAACGGTCTGCAGCAGGACCTTCATACTCAAGAGGCTCAACGAGATGCTCATCCTCAGAAGGGGCCTCGTAGTTGGGAGCCTCTTGGACCTCAAACAGGGGCTCGGGAACACCATCATATGGGTCATACATAGACCTGATGACCAGTCAGGCGTCCACGTACTGCAACTGAGCCTGCTGGGGAGCATTCCCAGGACCAGGACAACAAAGAGGAGGAGGAGGAGGAGGAGGAGAAGCAGGAGGAGTTGAGTTGTTCGTCCAGTGCTAATCAAACAACATGTCAACCACTCCCAGGTGGCGTAGGTATTCCCATGGCGTAGGTTGATCGATTGGAGGTTGTCAAACATCCAAGAAAGCAGCGGCGGATCTAAGGGATCGGCGTGCTTGCATCTTCCAGCGGGCAGGCGAGGATTATACCATTCAGTGCAAGCCATGTGGCGCATTTTTCCAGTGCTCGAGAACTCCTAGGACTCCACGGAGTTGCAAGACATGCTCGACGGCGTCTTCCGGATCACTGACGATGTGAGTCTCTCCACCACGCGCGCGGATAAGCTGTCTTGCATAATGCCGACTACTGTGGATCCCAGATCGTGTTGTCGCCGCAGCCTGCCTCTCTGGAAATATCGATGTGGCCTAGCGTTGGAGCAAAGCTTCGCAAAGCTCTTGTGCTGTGTACTCAACCAGCTGGTGTTGACGCCCTTGGGATGACGCTGGGGGGCGGAAGAGAGAGGAGGCGACAAGCCAGGTGCGCTCGCGCCTCATCCGACGTCCTACGATTGCTCTCTGTTCGCGGACGCTTGTCATAGCCGACCTGCGACTTACGCATGCATCAAGACCACTTCGTGTTATGCGCAATCGAAAAAAGTGGAGCTGCGTGCACAAAAGGAGGAGGTGGCGGGCGAGCAGGAGGATGCGCGGGAGGGAAAGGTTGATAGCGAGAAACAGCAGCGGAAACTACAGCGGAGTGACCGGGAGGACAAGGAGGACCAGGGGAAGGCGGAGGAGAGGAAATGAGGGGGGCGACAATGCTGAAGACATCTTCGGACTCAGAAAGTGGCCCGCGCTGGGGCGAGAAGAGCAGCAGCAGCAGCAGCAGCAGCAGCAGCAGCAGCAGCAGCAGCAGCAGCAGCAGCAGCAGCAGCAGCAGCAGGATGATTTGGAGTGCCAGGAGCGGGATGAACGGGAGGACCAAGGGAAGGCGGGAGGAGGGAGAATGCTGGGGGTGGGCCACAACGGAGCGAGACTCGAGCCAGAATGAGTGGCCCGCGCGGGGGCAAGAGCGCCCTTCTGGACGACGGGTGCACAAAACACACGTGCGTCTGTACCTTATCAGTTCATCGCACGTGCGTTTGTACTTTGACGAGTGCAGACCAGAGGATAGATCAACCCTGCCCGGCTGTGGAGGCCGCGTGCTGCTCAGGAAGCATCGGCCCCACAAACGGATGCTGTGCCTTGCAGCCGCGTTGGTTTCAGTTTTGTGCTTGTCATCCATAACAAATGGACGACGGGTGCAACGCGGCGATCTGAACATGAGGCCCACGCTGCAGCGGGAATAACCATTGTAAACTACTGAAGACACTCGAAGTGACTTTTGAACTCCTGTGTGTGTGCGTATGTGTGTATGCGTGTTTCAAGAACAGCACGCGGAGAGTGCAGGAAACTTATAGATATACACATCTTTATGTGTATACATACACATTTTTATATATATATATATATATATATATATATATATTCTGCACATCTCCAGGGGAGGAAGGATAAAAGTAATCAC